AAATATATGCTAGTGTATATCAATAGGGTGATGGAGAGTCATATCTGTAACTTACTCTCAAATAGTTCAGGGAAAAAAGTTCTTTTCTTGCAACTTGTCTGTAAATTTGAATTATTTCAAATAAAAAGAAAAATGCCATTGAATGCCAATGATGTTATAGGGTAACTTTTACTCTGCTCCACTCAGAGTGCTTTAAAAAAAGCAACTCCTTCATAAACTTCAAATAATCCTTAATGTGAAGTCTAACTCTAAAAAATATGGGTTCACAACCTATAACATCCCATACTGTTGTTCTTCATAACAAAAGGCAGTATAGCATAAATAACATCTGCTTTGGAGTCAGATAGAATGTGTTCTTTTCTAGCTTTATGATTGAGAAAATTAATCAACTTTTAGGAGGCTTGGTTTTCTCATCTGGAAAATGAGACTAACTAATTGATTGCTCTGTTCTGCATAGGCTACATAATGATTTATATGCTCCCAAGCTTGGACTTTTACTCAACATTGTATATTATATAATCTGATGTTCTACTTTCTAGGATAGATAACTCATTTATTTTTCATGCCCTGTTGCCTACTTAGTAGCTACATTATTATCACTATTCTTCATGATTGGTTTGAAGAAGAGGTAAATTTATCTATCTATCTATCTATCTATTTATTGAAGAGGTAAATTTTATTACTTATTAATATTCTTAATAAAAGATTTGGTAGGGAAGGATATCAGCAAAATGTAGAAGTTATTTAGATAGATTTCAATTATCTACTGCCATAATCACAAGCTGATTATGTCCTTAAGTATAGTAAACAAGTTTAGCCAATTCTAATCTAGTTTAATTACCTCTTCTCAGACACTATCAGAAAATGAATAATGAATAAATAGTACATTCAATGTTGATAAGTGGAGAAATGGGAACCCTTATGCACTGTTGGTAAGAATGTAAAATGGTACAGCTGCTGTGGAAAACAGTGTGGCAGTTCCTCAAAAAATCAAAAACAGAATTACCACATGATCTGGCAATTCCATTTCTGGATATATACCTCAAAGAATTCCAGACTCTATCTCTAAAGCAAGGAAGAAAAAAGTGCCAACTTAGTTGGAAACATACTCTGTACTTACCAGTTGTTTGTTGTGCTGTGGCAGAGGACATGGCTGGGCACCAGCTGGCACCTTGTATACTGGTGTTACTGACATACTAGCAGGGTGGGCACATATGAAGCGAACCTGCAAAACCTCTACAGCTGGACTAGGGTTCAGGACACCTGGGTGATTTCCAATTTGGAATGTGAGAACCTTTAAGGAAATATCAGAGCAAGAGATAATTGTGGGTAGATACTTGATGTCAGTCATGCCAATATAAATGTGTTAGAATTATTCAAATTTCAGTATAGAGAGTCCCTTTCGACATTATAATCCAGCAAATCCCTTAAAGGTATTATATTTCTTAATTATCTATGCTAAAAGGCATTAATAATATCATGAAAATTTGAAAATAAGTGGAACATTTTAAAAAATCTAGGTTAGGCACAATGGTTCATGCCTATAATCCCAGCACTTTGGGAGGCTGAGGTGAAGGATCGCTTGAACCTAGGAGTTCAAGATTATCTTGGGCAACATAGTGAGACCCCATTTCTACAAAAAATTTAAAAATTAGCCAGGCATGGTGGTGCAAGCCTGTAGTCCCAGCTACTTGGGAGACTGAGGCAGGAGGATTGCTTGACCCAGGAGGTCAAGGCTACAGTGAGCCATGTTCATGCCACTGCACTCCAGCCTAGGCAACTGAGTGAGACCCTGTCTCAATAAAAAAAATATATATAACTTTGACTGAGTGTGGTGGTGTGCACTTGTGATCTCAGCGACTCGAAGTCTGAGGCACAAGGATTGCTTGAGCCTAGGAGTTGTAGACCAGCCCAAGCAACATAGCGAGACCCTGTCTCAGAAAAAAAAAATATATTTGGCCAATTACTTTAGTCTTTTCCTCCACCAGTTATTTTGTTACTAGTTGATAAAAAGTGAAAAAACTAATTTATGTTTCAACTTGTCTGTAGTAGAAGTACTAATGAATAACAGAATGTGGAAACAAAAAGAAGTTAGGAAACTTCAAATGGGGGTTAATTAGGCCCCAAATCACTAATAGCTCACTCAACAAACTAGGAGAAGGAATAAAAGCCTCATATGAAAAACCCACAGCTAACATCATACTCAATAGTAAAAGACTGATTCAAAAAATGGGCAAAGGTCCGGCACGGTGGCTCATGCCTGTAATCCTAGCACTTTGGGAGGCCAAGGCGGTGGATCATCTGAGGTCAGGAGCTTAAGACCAGCCTGGCCAACATGGTGAAACCCCATCTCTACTAAAAACACAAAAATTAACCAGGCATGGTGGTGTGCACCTGTAGTCCCAGCTACTCAGGAGGTTGAGGTAGAATTGCTTGAACCCTAGAGGTGGAGGTTGCAGTGAGCTGGGATTGTGCCACTGAACTCCAGCCTGGGCAACAGAGCAAGATTCCATCTCAAAACAAGAAAAAGTGCAAAGGATTTGATTCTTCAAAGAAGATACAGATGGCCAAAGATATGAAAAGATGCTCAACATCACTAATCATAAAGAAAATGCAAATCAAAACTATAATGAGATACCACCTCATACCCATTAGGATGGCTACTATTAAAAAAAATAAAATAAGGCCAGGCATGGTAGCTCATGCCTGAATCCCAAGCACTTTGAGAGGCCAAGACTGCAGCATTACACTCCAGCCTGGTGACAAGGGTAAAACTCCATCTCAAAAAAAAAAAAACAACCCTGATAATAACAAGTGTTGGTGAGGTTCTGGAGAAATGGAAACCTGTGCACTGTTGGTAGGACTGCCCAGGCTGACCTTGAATTCCTGGCCTCAAGTGATCCTCCTGCCTTGATTTCCCAAAGTGCTGGGATTACAGGGGTGAGCCACTGAGCCCAGCCTTAGAGTTTTAGTTTCATAAGATGAAAGGAGATGGATAGTAGTGATGGCTGTACAAGATTATGAATGTACTTAATATTATTGAACTGTACACTTAAAAAATTATTAAGATGGTAATTTTATATATATTTTACCACAATAAAAAAATTAGGGAAAAAAGGAAGTAATTAGCTCCAAGTTTACTAATAGCTAGTTATATATACAGTAAGGTTCACTACAAATATTAGAAAGAAACCTATGCAGTGAGCTATGATCATTCCACTACACTCCAGCCTGGGCAGTGGAGTGAGACCCTGTCTCTAAAAAAATAAAAGTAAATAAATGGAATAAAATAGAATGAAGTTTAATTTATTACAGCAGTTTTTACTAAGTTAAAATCTTATGTTGATTCCCTTACGTGCTGGTTAGCTGTGCTGTTTCACAGTGATACCTTAAATTCTCAAGCCTAGTAAAACTGCAAATCTTTGTTACCGATTCTGATAGAAGCACAGAACAGCTGTGAATGAAAACTATGCAAATCCATCAGTACCTCTAAAAATAATTTAAACTCAGCTGGGTGAGTGGTTTATGCCTCTAATCCCAGCACTTTGGGAGGCCAAGGTGGGCAGATCACTTGATTCCAGGAGTTTGAGACCAGCCTGGCCAATATGGTAAAATCCTGTCTATATAAAAAAAAAAAAACCACAAAAATTAGCTGGGCTGCGCATGGTGGTGTGTGCTTGTAATCCTAGCTACTCAAGAG